TTAGATTTGAGTCATTTAACAGTGCTATCATGAAAACAGTAAACTAGACTATTGGGATTTGATTTATTAAGTCTATAAAATTATTTAAAAAAACACTAACAATATCATGTAATGTACTCCCTCCGTCCCTAAATAATCTTCCATTTCGCTTTTCGAGAGTCAACTTAAATCACACTTAAACTCTTACTTTATATATAAAAAATTTATAAAAATTGAATTATTTTTTGCAGGCTTTGTAGCGGGTTTAATGTAGTTTCTGAATATGTAAATTTTATTTACTAAAAATAATCCGAGTTTTCACAGGGATCATTTAACTTTATCGCTGGTCAAACTTCGTAACCCGTAATTGGAAGTTTTATTAGGGACGGAGGTAGTACTAGATAGTATAAATTATTGGTCACTTTTATTTACTTAAGTTATTTACATTGGTAAAAAATAGATAAAACAATATAAATCCCTAAACTAGTTAAAGATTATTAAAATTCTGGAACTTTAAGACCTGAAAAGTAAATAATTAAAAGGATAAAAGTTTTAGCCTAAACCAGTATATTAATCACAAGCTACACTATATATTTAAAAACAAGGATTACTAGTTATTACACGTGGTCTCAATTCAGCAATTCTCAAAGGAATCAAGGCAGTAAACACGGAAGGCGGAAACACAACCTTAAATAATTTAATACTCCGTATAAATAATAACTCAACCCTTAATCGCAACCCAAAATACAAACAATACACATAATAAACACAACAAAAAATAGCACCTTTGAGATCGCTGATTGTCCAACTGAGCAAAAAAAATTACAGAATAGAAGCTGCCATATGCCACATTATTACAGATTTCAGGCATGCATATGTTCTGGAACCACTTAATAAGATTTCTATGCTGGCTGAAAAGAGACTGAGGAAACTGATGGGTGACCGATGCTTTCTTTAGTTAAGTGTTAAATAAGAAAGTAATTACATACCGTAATCGCAATTTGTGAGTCACAAGTAATATGCTCTCCATTCCTTCTGTTGTTTGGATTATATGTACCTCTTATTTAGCATGACGGGCCCAAAGTCGTTTGTTGGAATCATGTTTGAACTTCTTTATATTCAAAAGTAGCACCCTTTAAAGCACCAAGAATTAAGTAAATCATCGAGTAAAATAGGAAACAAAATTAAATAAATATAGGGGTAAGAGGGACAAGCAAATGCAAGTCACTAACCTTGAATTAGAGCAGAACTAAAAGAATCATAGCAGTATGGTTAAGCATCATTTAGCTCCAAATGTACAAAACCTTCCTTGACAATTAGTCAATATATAGATAACATCACTCTAAAGTTTATTAGTTTGCCATATTCAAGGTATACATTCTGAAAAACTACTGTGATTTAATAGAAGTTCCACACTACAAATTCTGGCCTCGAGAAAATTTCCTGTAGCTAAATACAAGCCCAACACTAATCAACTTGGCATATCAACAAACACATAGAATGCATATCTTTCTAATCATAAAATGTATGAGTACTACATAGTAAGCTAACATTTCTAAATTTCAAATCTCAAACGCTATCATTAATACATTCATACAAAACATATACTACGTCATATCTTTGAACAATTAAAGAAGCATTGTAATCAGGTCAATGAGTAGGCAATAATAATACCTTTTTCTCATCTCGTATAATACTCCTAAGGATTGTCAGCGCCTTGATGATTCAGATCAGATAAAGTATGAATTATGCCATCCAATTCTCTTCCCAGGGCTAACATTGGAAGCAATCTTTGGTTTGGAGGACCGGGGATTATGAGCGCCGGAAGGTTGAGAAGCAACAAAGCGGCCGCGGAAAAGACAGGAATAAAGAGTGCGAAGAAGTATGAAGCGGATGCCCACGTGATAGAGCAAAATTATGGAAGGGGTCTACCATGTATGAGATCTAGAACCGCTTCTTTTCCAAGGTCCTTCCGATTAGGGTTTCTGGTAATTGTTCAGTGGAGCGAGTTCAGGCCTCAGGGATAGGGATGAGTGGAGGGAGTTTGAGAATTGAGGGATAGATGCAGCGGGAATCAAAATTTTAACCAAATAATTGAAAGGAGTTTCGCAGAAATTCAAACGAATGCATACCGGCCTCAAATAATTGTTAAATCTTATTTTTTATAAAAAAAATATGTTCAAATGGACGCATTTTCATTCCAGATTTTTACATTTTGATTTTATTTTATTTTCTTTTCTTTTTTTATTTACAGAGTACCTATTTTTTATGAAGAAACAGAGTGTCTATTTTGAAAAATTTAGCATTGTTTTTATATTTCTATTTTTGAAATTATATTAAATTTTATAAAACCTATCAATTTTCTTATCTTTCTTATTTGAAAAATGACATGTTGCAATAAATAACTGTCAAATGATCCACCAATAATTTATCTAATGCTAAAAGAGTCTTTTAGAGGCATCCCTTAAAAGGTTGCTCCAAGTCATATCTTTTAGGGGCAACTATTCTTTTTGCATCAAGCTTTTAGAGACAATCCAAAAAAAGTTGCTCCAAATAATACCTTTTAGAGACAAGAAATTTAGGGTTGCCTCAAATGTATTGAGAGCTTATAAGATTAGAGGCAACCAATATTTATATGATGCTAAAAGGATCTTTTAGAGACAAGTTGCTTTCAAAGTGATGCCTCTATAAATGATTTTTCTTGTAGTGGAACAACATGAGTTACATTTCATTACACACGAGTTACATCATTCTGCTCCTGGACAATTGAAAACAAAAACATAGGTTATTTTTCACGCGCGTGAACAGTAACACGCGATTTTTTTAGGCTAGAGCAGTATGCTCCAAACGACGTCGTATTGGGTGCAGGAGCATGATGCTCATGCTGGACAGGTTGCACCGTATACGTACTGGGGACTTAGGGAGATGGAAACCAAAGTTTGCGCCTGAACAAAAGTAGGGGCCACTTTGTGAGATCGTTTACTCGAGCAAACATGAAAAAATGAAATATTTCATGAGAATTAAATTATGCTGGTGATTTGGCTAAGGGTCAAGTTTCTACATTTAGAGTCTGTTTGGTAACACTAAAATCGGTTGATTCTGTTGAAATTTATGAAGTTTCACCTGCATTGGTTGATTCTGCTGATTTATGAAAAAATTATATTTAAAATATATTTTATTAATAAAGTAAAGAATAAATTAAATGTAAAAATAGCTAAAATGATGGCCTTTTTATTTCAATATTACTAAAAATAGGATAAACGATAAAAAAGTGATCTCTTTTTTAAAATTCCAAAAATGTGACCAACATCACAATTAACCCTACAATGCAAAGTGACTCCCCGCAAAGTGACTCCGGCGAAAGTGACCCCACCGACCACAGTGACAGTCTCGCCGACTACAGTGACTGCCCCGCCGGTCACAGTGACTACCCAACCGCCACAGTGACTCCGATCAAAGTGACTATAGTAACTAGACTTCCCGACTTCTAGCCACAGTGACTACCCACCAACCGGCCACAGTGACTTCAGTCGCTGTGACTGCCGGCCCACCGGCCAAAGTTACTCAACCATAGTGACACGCCACATTGATGCCACCGCCGCCCCCTGCCGCCGCCCCAACCCTGAATCAACTCCCCAACCCCCTCCCATCACCACCGACACAGATCTTAGCCCCAGGTCTTCGCACAAACACACCTCCTAGCCCCTCCCTACCCCCTTCACCCAGTCACAACCAGATTCAACATCAGCCCCAACCCAAAGACAGATACGGCCGCTCCCCCTCCTCATAAGCCCCCTCCACCAGCCACATCGCACCCTACCCCAGTGCCGCCCGAACCACACCCTAATCCACCCAGCGCCGCACAGCGGCATTACCGGCGAGATATCCTTGCACCAACAATTTGAAAGAGACACAATAGATCTGTAATTTCAACCACAGATCTGAAATTCGTCAATCAGCGCTATCCTTGAAGGGATGAGACGTATGAAGCAGCAAACAACAACAGCGAAGAGGAGCAGTGAAGAGGTTGAAGTGTCGCAATGGTGGTCGTCGTCGTCTTCGCTGGAGGTCGCCGTCGTCTTCCCTGGAGGTCGTCTCGCCATCGTCTTCTCTGGCGATCTTCTCGCCGTCTTCTTCTCTGGAGGTCTTCTAGCCGTCGAAGTCTTGCTCCTTCCTCTATGTTCGTTCGCAGAAGGAGAAGGGAAGAGGCAGAAGTTTCTTTTTTGAGAAGAGAGGCGAAAGTTATTTTTGAGAAGAGGCGTGCGTACGGTCAGTTTGCTGGAAAAAATAAATCCGGTCATAATTTTAGAAATCAAAACCTCAATTGTAATATTCAGGCAATTATTTCTAAAATGATCTGCTACAGTAATTTTAGCCAATGCAGCCAGAAAAGTAGCACCAATCTTTCTTTTTTTAATTATAGAGTATTACATAATTCATTTCGCGAAATAAAAAATTACGTATTTGGTGAAAAAGTTGGCTGATAAGTCTGATAAGCCGAAAAACAGGGTCACTAAACGGGCTCTTAAAGTTAATCTAAGAGGAATGAGGAATGAATACAACTCTTAAACTAAAACACCCTCCACAAAAGCCTTAGCTTGACATTGGATGGTTATAAATATACTAAGGGGGTGTTTGGAACTGGTTCTGCTTCTGCTTCTTTTTTGAAACAAAAACAGAATCAGAATCAGTTTTGAGAAGCTGGTCTCCTCCAGTTTCTAAAAAAAACTGATTCTAGCTAGGAGTAAATTAGAGCACCAAAATCACTTCTGTACTTTCACTCAAACACTCCAACTTCTGTTTCTGCTTCCTGAAGGAGCAGAAATAGTTTTAAGAATTATATCCAAACACCCCTAAATCATAGTAGAGTGATTTCTTTGATTAGAAAATTCCGCAAATTAGACTAAAACAATAGTAAAGCTCACAAATAAAAATGTTTTATTCTCAAAATATGACTCATTTACTCATACATAAAAAAGTTTTAATCAATTTCTTTTTTAATAGGATTAAATAAATCCTATTTGGGATTTTTTTTTTTTTTCATTTTTGCTTATGATGGTTGTATGATGAGCTATTATATTAGAAAGGGCTGCTCTAGCTAGTAACAGGGAAAATGGCTTCTTGGTACATGCTACAAGGACCAGACAGACCGCCCTCTCTCGCGATCCGAATATAACCGTCCTCTCCCCAATTTGATCCCCAAGAGTTTTTCACAATCCAGAATGGAACAAAAGGGACAACTGTATCGTATCCCACAACCACCATAGCGTGGTCCACCCCAGTTCCACAGTCACCGGAAGGCCCGGGGACGAAAACTCCGCCGTCGTAGTTCTTGAACGACGGAACAAAGCCAGCACTGTACGACACCACGATGGTGACGGGCTGCTTCGCGACGGCGGAGCGGAGAGCCGTCTCGCTATTCCAAGGCACGACTCTGTAGCCTGAGATGCCGGCGAAGGTGTCCACGTCAGCATCCCGGCATGTCTGCTGAACGCCGACGTACGGGTAGTCTATCTCCATCGCCAGGCCGCCTTTCTCCACCGCATATTCGAACGCGTACATGACGGAGCCGCCGGCGCACCCAAAAGAGTCGGTGTCGCAGTCTAGAAGCTGCTGCTCCGATAAGTCCAGCAGAATTTCAGAGCGGATCTTGTTCAGCCCTTCCATGGCGGCCACCGCCGCGAACGCCCAGCAACACCCGCAACCTCCCTGGTCCTTCACGTCGGTCACCGCGCCTTGCTCTCGCCAGTCCACCGAGGGTGGAAGTTGTTCCAGGCTCACATTTTCTTGAAACAGCGGCGGCTCCGGTGGGGCATGACGGCGGCGGCGTTGGGGTCCGGGTCCTCTAGAGCAGTTTTTGAAGTACTTCGCCGTGAACTCCTCGTCGGTCATGTCGGAAAATGCATTGAATCCAAGTCTGTAAGAACGGTTTTCGGCTCTGTTGAAAGACTCGACGTACTCTTTGTTTTTCTTGAAGATCTCGAATCTTTTGGCCTTTTCAAGGTCATCTTTGTAAGAACGTTCATGGCGGATCATCCACCGCTCAAAATGTTCGGCTACGGGGAGTTCCTCAACGGCGGGGGCCGGAGCGGTGGCGGTGGCAGTGGCTGTGCATGCCCACGTCACTAATAGGATAAGTAGTGACGATGCCAGAATCATATATTCCATCAGATCTGATCTAGCAGTTAAGGGCTTAAGGCAGACCAGATCGATGGGAGTGAGGTGACTTATAATGAATCTGCATGCATGCATGTGCACTGGACCTATATATTTATCAGCTTAGAATCTTAAATAAAGCTCATACTAAGAAGTCTCATGCCTCATGGTATTTAATGTAGTAATTCAATAGTCTTAATTTCTGTATTAATTCCTCAGTATAATCGCAGACCATTTATTTATTCCTTTACTTCTTAAGTTTCAACTCACTGTATTTAATTTTGTAATTCAATTGAGTTGTACCTAAACCTGGCTAGCTCCCGTGTTTTGGCCTGTCAAATTCAAAACTCCCATATTTTGTTCATTTCCTCTTCAGTGGGACAATAGTAGTTGACGGATTTTAGTGTCAAACAAGTATCGCCACCGAACAATGGCGGAACACATTTATTTGCCACTAAATTCCGTCGTCACGTAAGTACAAAATATCGCCATGGAACAATGGCGTAAATTTTGGTACGAAGGGTAGCGTGTCAATCTATTTAATTTGTCCTTTTTTCTCTCAAGAGAATGAAACGCTGCTGCACATTTTTGGGGCGTGCCGGAAGACATTACAGATTTGGAGGTCAGTTCGTTGGAATATCCCCATTACTGTTAGCAATACATTTTTTGGAATGGGTGGAGAATTTTTTTCTTACCAGAGACGAAGAAAGAAAGCTGCTGCATGTTCATTATGCTCATTTGGAGCACTTGGTGGCCTGGGCTAGAAATGCAAAAATATGGTTAAAGCATATTGGCTGGGACTATATTGACAGAATCAGACGCTCTTCAAATTATTACAAACATTAATTGGGTCAGACAGCTTGGCTTTGGGGCTCATCATTGACGACATAAGAGATATTTCTTCTAACTTTTCTAGAATTTCTTTTTCAAACCCGAGGCGATTTGCGAATCGAGTAGCTCATGATTTTGCAAGAGCTGCTGTTTCTATGTCTGGTCGTTATATTTGGTTTGATAATTATCCCACTTGTATTTCAACTTCTTTGGACCATGATTTTATTAATATTAATTAATTAGTTCTCTTTCAAAAAAAGTACAAATATTAATTTTTGCACATACATATTCTATCTACCGAACTACCACTTAGCTTTCTCTCTACTAGTTCTATTTTGCCATGTTCAAATAAGACTAAATGTAATAAATAAACTTTTTCTTATTTAAATTTTAATTTATATGTGTTTACTTTGTGTTTCTACCAATTAATTAAGCTTAGTATTACATTTTTTAGCCTTTTCTATTTATTTTATGATTAGAATCATGAAAACATGAACATGTGTGTGTGTTAGATGGACGTAGTGATGGAGAATGGAGATGATGAAATGGAAATTGCTTGTGTTTTTTAGTTTTTTATTCATTCGCAATTTTAAATAATTTGAAGAACTATAATAAGATTAAACGAAGTCCTACTTGAGTTTTTTTCAAGAATAATGAAAAATTAAAAATTATTTACCAAATTGAGGTAAGGTTAAAAATATTTCCCAATCTACTGCCCACAATTAACTCTAGTTTGTTTTGTATAACCGTACGTAGCAACACAGCACACAAGTGGGAGAAAATAGATTAGGTCCCACAAATAAAAAAAATCTCTTGTTTTTTAAAGTGTTATAACTTTTTTATTTGTGTTCCAATTAGGGCTGGATTCGGGCCGGGTCGGGTCCGGGCCGCCAGTTCTAAATAGGTGGGCCCGGGTAGGTACCGGGTCCGGTCCGGGCCTCGGGTCAATTTTTTTTCTTTTCCTAATTAACCCCCCCTCCCCCCCCCCCGCACCCCAACCCCCCAAACGACCCCAAATGGCCCAAAATACCCTGCCCAACCCGAAAAGTTAAAAAAAATTGAAAAAAAAATTAAAAAGCCCGGAACCTGGCCCGAACCGGCCGGGCCGGTTCGGCTTTTGGGTGACCCGAGCCGGGCCTACCCGGACCGGTCACTGGCCGGGCCACCGGGCCGGGCCGGTTCAGCACAGTACCGGTCCTGGGCCGGTTCCGGGTCGGGCCACCCGGCCCGAGTCCAGGACTAGCTCCGATTGTTACAAAAAATATATCAAAATTTATAACTTTTTATTATCTTTCATATGAGACCAATATTGGATATAGAAAAAATTTATGTTTTTTAAAGTGCTATATTTTATAAAAATATAAAATAAAATCTATTAATATCTACTCATATTAATCTTTTCAATAATATACCAGACTTAGATAAACGTTTGGTCTCGTAGACTCTCAAACAACCTAACATTGGCTTTGAATGACAGGACATTTTATGTCTTAATAGTTAATCATAAACACTTAATTTACTAACATTTTGTTTCAAATCGATAATGAAAGTGGTTAGTTAAAAAGTTAATAGAATATGCTAGTATGGTGTAGTAATTTGCTGACTCTTTTTTTGTTACCAATTTGGGCTTCTTCTTTTTTACCAATTTGTCTCGGGAGTTTTTTTTAGCAATTTGGTAAAATCCCTTGTTTTTACCAATCTGGGAATTTTGCCTTATTAAGCTATCACTTTTATTTACAAGTATTGTTTTATTATTTGAACCAAAAATTGTGCAATTTTGTTCTTAGCTATCGCTCCAAATTAATTGTGTGCACTATAAAAATCGATTCTGAAATTCACAAATTAATGGATTCTGTTATATATAAGCTAATAAAAAATCTGAATAATGAATTTTTTTGTAACAATCAGAGTACAAACCAAAAAGTTATAACACTTCAAAAAAACAAAAGTTTTTGAATTACTACATTGTTTTTTAATTATATACGTAGTATATGCAATATTGGTGCCATATGAAAGATAACAAAAAGTTATAAAAATTTATATATTTCTTGTATAAATCTGTGTACAAATTAAGCAATTTTAGCACTTTAAAAAGTAAGTTTTTATTATATCCAATATTGATCTTATATGAAAGATAATAAAAAGTTATAAATTTTGATACATTTTTTGTAACAATTAAAAAGTTATAACAATTTAAAAAAATAAATAATTTTTTTATTCGTGGGACCCATACTATTTTCTCCCTCTTGTGCACAGTAGGTTTTCCGTTGCTACATACGGAAGTTGGCTGTTCTACACTACTAACTATAGTTCATGGTACCAGTAGATTGGGAAATATTTCTAACCATACCTCAATTTGGTAAATACTCTTTTATTTAGCAATAAACTAGCAAAAAACTCATCCTACTTTTGTAAAGTTCCTATGATTTGGCCGGCCTTATGAAAAAGTTCTAATGCAAACGAACTTCATAGTTACAAAACATAATCGATCAAACCAAACACAGTAATGAGGTACGTTGTGATGTACTTCCTATGTTCTTAAATAAGTGCAATGGTCAACTTTTCATATTTGTCGATGCACAACTTTGAACAATAATATATATAGTTCCCTATTAGTAAAAAAAATTTAAAAACTGATTTTGAATATTTACAATGAGACAAATTTGACAATATTTTTTGGAAAAAAAATATTAATACATTAGTAAATAAATCGTAGTTAAAGTAAAACATGTGAACAATGTAAAATTCAACGTGTCTCCTTTCCGTATTCCTTAGTACACTATTCTCTCATCCTTATGTAAAGTTATGGTTTCAGCCTTGGCATGCGGCTAATCATGTTCAGATGTTCTAATAATATTTGATTAAATAGGGAGTTAAAGTGCTTGAAAAAACATCTTTTTGAAAACTTTACGGGTACGTTTGGTTCAAGGAATGTCATATTACCATGGGGATGTCAAATTACTGGGTATGTTAGATTGATGAAAATGTATTCAATTTGTATCTCATTTGTGTTTGGTTAAGATCAATGGAATGTGACATTATTTTGTTTGGTTGAATGATATTTTATATTACTAATTTGGTGAATTACTTCAATGCTCTTCAAATATTTTCTCTTAACACAACAAACTTATTACAACCTACATTTAAAGTAATTTAAATTAAATAAAAAATGAAATATCTCAATAATAAATAAAATCAAAATTTATTGAATAATTCTAAAGAAAAGTATGTTTAATGGCAAAATCATAAGGATTAGTGTTGATTAGTGAACATTAGTAAATAATTATGGAGATAATTTAGAAGAAGAATGCTACGATGTAAAAAGAAAGAATGGAGAAAACATATTTGAGTGATTTCTTTATTTCTCCATCCCAGACTTGGTGCAAAGCTCAGTGACGACTTTTTTTTAAGAAGTGGTTGGAGAAGAGATCCTAGTATGCTTCTTCTAATTTAATGAGCAAGGGTAATCTTAGAAGAAAACTTATAACTAAGAGGGAATGTAGGATAACCTAAGAGAGGGTTGGGTTTGACATTACCAGCCATCTCATTCCTTTATTCTCTTTTAAGGAATGTGACATTCCTGGGAAAAATTTAAGCATGCGAACCAAACATGGATATCTCTTATTCCGGATATCAGATTCCGGCCTGCATGAAGAATTACCTTGAACCAAACGCACCCTACAAGTATTGTACTATAAATAACAATGATATTTCAAATTGGGAATAAAAGTGGGGGGAGGGGGAGCAAGAAACATATGCTATGTTGCAAGCTACGAAATGTGAAAATTATGGGGAATTGACATCTTCTGCAGAGTTTAATTTGCGAAAATGGAAACGAACTTTTCCAGAGTTCCCGTGCTTCATAGAACATATATATGCACACATGGTCAATTGGGGAACACAATGAATCGGAATTCATACTCATGTGTTCCAGGGAAAGAAAGAAAATCATTTGTGGTGGATTGAAGTAGGAACAAGTGGCCTGCTGAGAAAAGTAAGAGCTGCAGTTAGAATAACATAACAAGTGAACAACGTGGAGGATATACTGAATCCTTACTACCCTGCCATTCCTAGTTTTGGGAGGTCCTTTGTCATGACAGCAGGCTGGCTCGTGCTCTTCTTTGTGGGATTACTTAGCAACAGTTGCTGCTGCTGTTATCACTTTTTCGCCATTGCCGTTGGACTGAAAGCTGGCAAGGACACAAAGAAGGGGAGGCGGCCAAGAAGGCATAATGATACAAACCACTCTGATTAAATAAAAGATCCCAGCTTCTCGGAAGTTCATTAGTATTTTAACACTTGAGAGACTTCTAAAAGGCTAATGTTTTAGTTTGGTCTCATATGTACGTATTTCTTGAATTGGATGGTAAGCTCCTTTGATTTGCTTTCATTCATTCATAGTCTGTTGTGTGATTTTATTTTTGAATAGTTGTTGGCCTTAAAATTCTTAACTTACCCCGGCATTTCTCTTTGATTGGTCTAACTTGCATACACTTTTTCGTTAAGGATTCTTTTTCCTAATGCCGGGCATCAGGCGCCTTGCTTTGCTTTTTGGCAGGCAAGCAGTGGCGGATCTAGAAAACTAAGTTATTGGGGGCACCATGTATAAGGGAGATTTGCGATTTTAGTCTTATATCATTCGGTTGTTATCGTTATTGGTCCTGTAACTTTAATTACTTGCATATTTGATTATGTAACTAATAAATTTTTTTAGTTTAAGGACTTTTTCACCGAAAAGTACCCTTTCGGACAGAAAAATATGATGCCGGCGACATCAATTCCGGTATACTACCGCTAGAAAGTGTACTTTTCAGGGGAAAAGTCATTAAATCACAAATGTTAATTAGTTACATGACCAAATTTGTAAGTGACTAAAGTTACGAGACTAATAATGAAAACGACCGAAAACTACGGCATGAAAATTGCAAATTTCCCCTTGCACGTATAGAATAATGATGTTTTTAATTGAATTCGTTTTAGATTCATACTATACTAGATCAGACATCGATGGTTGTAAAATACACATAGAATAAATATCCACTAGATTTAACCGGTTAGGCTAGATCAAATAAAAAAATATAGTTTGCTTAAAAACAACTTAAGTAAATTAAATGTCATACCACCCCGTCAAAAAAAACCTTGCCATTTCATAAAATCTGGCCCATGATTTTGATAGTATAATACTCCGTACTATGGAACTTATAAATTTTACTTTTATGAAAATATTTTTAACAAACAAGATTTTCATATAATTTTTATA